TGAGCCGGTGAGATTTGAACAGCTGAACTGCAGAACTGCAGTCAGCTGAAGTAGCCTGCAGTGCTGCATTTAACCACTGCGCCACCTCAGCGCAGGATCACTCTGAAAAGACAAAGTCATTGTGAACTAGGCAATCCAGCATTTGTACTCAAGTACAAACAAATCTCTAGATAGGATTGGTGGAAACACATGTTTTGAAATACTTTGAATGTGAAATTTGACAAAATGTCCATTTTTAGTGCAGATATACTGCTTCAAGCTTCTTGAAAGCTTTTTCAAAATGCTGACAAAAACTTGCTTTACGGACTATAGCTTGTGAAGACCAGGAGTAAGTCTTATGAAAGTAGCTCATCTTGATGTTATTATCCAATATATTATTGGTTTTATCCATACTTCTGCATTTTTAGATGATTATCTAGATACTGGAGTCACTGAGTTCTTTGAAGAAACAAAAGTCAAATTTGCCGAGCTCTCTGAGGAACTTCTGTGGGAGTATATCCACAGCGGTGAGCCAATGTAAGTGCAATATAAGCTTCACTGCATTGGACTAAAAACTTATAACATTAGGAAATTCAATTTCACAATGTAAATAAATATCAATGGCACTGAAATATTTGAGAAGGTAGCATAATTTGCATACATTGGCATCCTTCAGGCTCAAAAGACTATGGTATCGTGCTCTGGAAAGAGGTAAAGCTGGAGTGTCCTCTCCAGAGCACAAGGCCTGGGTAGATTAATGTTAAATCGGCGGCAGTAAAGACGAAGAGGTGTCTGACGTAACCTTCAAGAACCGTTTATTACAGGCAAGAACAGTAACTGTAAGTAGACCAGCACCTCTCCTCCGTCTGACAGCCTTTTATATGGAGCTGTCAGACGGACGAGCCAATAGCCTTTCGTATGACAGCCCGGCAACTCGCAGGCACGTCTGATTGGCTAAGAAGTGCCTGGCTGCTGCCGAGCTGTCATTCGTAAGTCCGAGGACTTACGAGGCTATTACACTCCTTCCCCCCCAGCGATGCGCATGCATCAGAAATGGCGCAGCCGTAGTCACGTAAGTAGGCGGGGGGACGGCGGACACGCCCTGAACGCCTCAGTTGGACTGCAGGCGTCGACTGGAGCGGATGTCCCTGTAAGAGCTCCTCCCTGCGGGGAGTGGAGCTCCAGGTGACGTCAGAAGAGCGGCCTGGTTGGAAAGGCGGAACCCAAGGATGAAGTAGGCTGGGCGAAGGGGGCGCGGTTGAGGATGGCGGTGGATTTGGAATAGGCCGGTAGGCGGCCTGGGGCTGGGGAGGACTGGGCCTAAGAAAGCCTAAAATGTTGGGAGCGTTTATTGCGGGCTCGGATGGAGAGGCGGAGGAAAGGCCAACGAAGGGCTGATGCGAACCCGGAGGCCCTGAATTGGGGAAGGCCATTGGATCATCTGTTTGCGTCCACTGTTGCGGAACTGGGGCCGGTTGCGAGGCATCGGTGGCCGGCCTCTGCGGGATGGGTTGAGCTGGATCTTCGTGGTTGTGGCAGCTCCTCAATTGATCCAGGTGCCGCCGCCACATGGTGCCATTGGATATTCTGGCCCTGTAGGAGACGGGTCCTGTTATCTCGGTGATGGTGGCAGGCACCCACCGAGGATCCCCAGAATAGTTGCGAGCCCAAACAGTGTCCCCGGGAAGGAAGGAACAGGAGGGAGGCCCCAGGTTGCCAGGCTGAATTCCTGAATAGACGGGGTGTAGTCTATCCAGGGTGGTCCGCAGGTGATGACCCATCAGCAGCTCCGCGGGGCTGTGCCGCATTAGTGGGCAAGGTGTGGAGTGCTGTGCCATTAAGTAAGCATCCACCCTTGCCTGCCAGTCGCCTCGGTCCATGCGA